AGCAGAAAAGAGAGGGAGACTTGTTCTCCAAAGTTTCACGGGGGCTCAGCCCTGCACATGGGAAAAGCCTTTACTGGAATCCAGGCCTTTTTTGGTGTGTACTTAGAGACACCTGCATTTGAAAAGCCAAGTCAACAAACCCGAGCTGTCCGACATCTGAACACTGCAGGGATGGATATTGGCACTTGGCTCCGGTGGTTTCCAAACTGGGAATTTTATATCTCTCTCACTATCTGTCACCACCATTCCCACTGACCCCCCCTGCGCTGGGAGCTCTTGGTGTGCAGACTGCAAACTGATCTTTGCAAGCTGGGAGCTGGCAGTACAGGGCTGGAAAAAAGGTTGAACTGTAGGGAGCACTGATGGTCTGAGCCTTGAATATGGAAAGAAGAGAAATAATATCAAAGGAAATCACATAAGTGGAAAAAGAGCCCCCTGGGGCAGCCCAGGCAGCAGCAGGTCTGTCTTGTTCATGTTTTCAGAGAAGTTAGAGGTCAGCCAAGCTTGATAACGAGGTAATACAGAGAAATCCATCACTGAGCCTTGGGGGACTTGTAGATGCGGTTCTCATCAGAATAAACGAATTTAGATGCTGCTCGACAGAAGCAACAAGAACGATTATGTATTGCAACACCAACAGATCATGTGGAAGGATCTGGGGTCAACGTCGGCTGGACTGAAGCTGAATCCTCTGCACTGCCCAAGGGCTTTGCTTCCCCGGGCTTTGCCCCCAGCTAAACTCCCTCGCCGGGAGATGCTCCGGCAGGAGCAGCCCCCTTAGGCGTGGACATGACCAGTGCCAGGGCAGAAGCAGCGATCGCACCCCGCGGTGCTTCGAGGCTGGTCTCCCTGCCCTTTGCTACACCCTCCGGTAAATAACGGTCTCGGCGGATGGGAAGGGAACGAGATTTTCCCTGTGCGGGGAAAAAAAGTGCCTGGTAGTTGTGGCCAGTTTTGCAGTTTGCAGGGGGCTCCGACTCAAGCGGAGGCACCGGGAGACCCTGGGGGGTGGGGGGGAAGAAAGTTCGGCCGTGGGGATCCACCTGCTAAAGCCGTCAGCAGGGCATCAAACACCGATCCAACAAGCCTGGATCAAACGCCTCATTAAGATAGGCGGGAAAGACAGTGAAAATCAATTTAAAGGACAAAAAAAGGTATCATTATGATCGGCTGACGGCCTTTATTATTTTTTTCTCTACTTTTGAGACTTTTTGGAGACTCTCACAACTCCATCAGCGCACGGCCCCGCTCACGTTTGATTCCGCAATTTAACATGAAATGTAAAGCAGAGTCGGGTTCAAACGGGAAGCGAGGCTGTCTGTAAGGAAGTACTGCAGAGAGGAGAGCAGAAAAATTAAAAATCTGCCCAAGGAAAAATGCTTCCCTCCCAGCCCTGCACTCCCGGGATCGGCGGGGCGATGACAAGGCAATCTTTTCGGGTAGATAATTGGGTTTCTCTTTCGGAAGACCGCATCATTTCTTACCCCGGCGCACACTAAAACACTCCCCTCGCTCCGTGTGTGGATGCACTGGCGGGAGTGTATGTGTGAGTGTACCGAGTCTGGGATCCGACTATCTGGTTTGTTTCTGTCCAGGGTTTCCCTTTTCTAAATCATTTCGGGACGGGTGTAGTTTAGGTACTTTTTCTCGTTTTGATTCGTTTCTGCAGCCAATCTTGCGTGGCAAAGCCGAGGCTAAGACTGCCTCGGCGAACAGGAGCCTCTCATAGATGGACGGAGCAGGACTCATTCACTGTCTTTTCATTTTGGGTCGTTTCCGACTTTAACGGGAACAATATTGCGCCTTGAAACAGGCAGGAATCGTGTCGATGGTGGCTGGTCGGGACTTGCTATTACTTGAGCTGCGGCGCTCTAGAAAGGCGATGCTGAGGGGGAAAGCCAGGTCCAGGCGGGAGCAGGACAAGCCACCGGCCGTATCCCATCAACAGCCACATCGTATCAACCCTTCTCGTCTCCCGTCTACATTTTCGGCCTCATCGGGGTCCCCGTGACCATGAGTATAGCAGCCAAGGGCTCCACCCGAGCCCCTCGTTGCTGGGGGCTCCCCTCGCGGTCTGCCCACCCTTCCAGACGGGGGGGGAGCCGGCAGCCGGGGCAGGGCGAGGGTGGGGGGGTTTGGGGGGGGCAGGCAGCAGACACCCACATCTGTTTTACTTCGAGCCGTGCGAGATCAGCCTCCAGACAGAGCGATCGGGAGGCAGCCGCCCTGCGACCGGGCGCCGCGGGGGCGGCTGAGCATCTTCCCCCCCGAGCATCCCTCGGGCGGTGTCCTCTGCCCTCGTCCGCTCGCAGCGCGTCATTTTCGCTGCCCCCTCCCTGCCCTCCCCTTCACCGCCCTGCAGAGGCACAAGGCGCAGCTCCCGGCGGTTCCTCGCTGCCGTGAAATGCACCAAGCAGAAATTCAATCGCCCCGTTGTGTGTGTGGTCGAAATCTCTGGCAGCTGCTTCGGAATTTTTTATGACACTTTCGTTTATGTATGGGAGGCATAACTATTATTTTACTTAATAAAAATGGAAAGCGGCTCGGGTCTTTTCCCTCTCCGCTCTCTTCCATTTGTTCTTCCCATCGTCTTTCCACCGGGCTGATGAACAGAGAGTTTAAACAATGTCGATAGGAAAGATGCGGCATCTCCGAAGCATTTCTCCGTGTTAGCTAACTATATATATATGAAAAAATATATATCAGAAATAAAAGAATATAAATATATGTCTAGTTGAATATATACATACACATATGAAGGGGAGATGTATGCGTATATGTTGCAAACGCAGGGTTAACAGCATTGAAGAAGCGTAAAAGCGAAAGCTCAGGAAAGCTCCCCCAGAACTGACACGCGCCCGCGGGACAGACTTCCCACCTTCCCGAGAAACTCTCAGCACACTTATTCATCTATTTTTCCCCCTTCGATCGAGAAATTCTCCTTGAGGGCCACGCTGGCGGCGAGGGAAGAGGATGTGACCGGCTCCGCAATCGCTGCTTCCACTGGAGACGCACGGGCGAAGATGTCCGCTTCTGCCCTCTCCGCGGGGTCCCCCAGAATTCGCCGAGCCTGTGCACCGAGTCGTTAGGGCTTGAGTAATTGTGACCGGCATTTGGAAGCGGGGCCGCGCAGCTGTTTGGCCCGGCTCCCCGGTATTAGTGCTGGAGATTTTATCGCCAAATGCTCGCACCTGTTAACGGCAGAGACTGGCAATTCATCACCGCGGATTCTCACACTGCCGAACGCGGCCCTGGCAGGGGGACATCTCCTCATGGTACCCCCTTGGAGGAACCCATCGCCTTCCTCCCTCCCCAAGCATCCTCCCCCGGGAAGGCGGTTATGTGTTTCCAGAGACTCCACGGGGGGGGAAAAAAAAAAGCAAAACTAACATTGCGAGCGTGGTTCGGCGTGTCCGCGGCAGAGACGGGGACAACCTGCTGCCACTGCCACCCACGGGACATGGGGTGGGCGGCTTCAGCAGTGGACGTGTTCCCCGCACTGCACCAGGGCTGCAACAAGCGGGGCAGCGGGTCTCTGCCACACGCCCGGACACTTCTGTGGCTCTGAGGGGCCTTGGGTGACTGTTTGCAGGGAAATCCTCCCGCTTCGCCTGCAGCCCGCGGCAAGGTGCCTGTACGCTGCCCGCTACCTCCTCCCTGCCAGCCGCTGGGGAGCGGAGGCAGGAGGGCGGCAGACAGGCGATCCCGAGGCCGCAGGATACTCCTCTTTCCCAAGAGTTCCTGGAGCCTGGAGGAGCCACGGGTGGACCGCCTCGGAAAGTGGTACCCGGCCGGGCCAGCCCCGCCGGGCAGAGGTGTGGGACTCGGATGCCGTCCCAGCACCCCGGGGACACGCACAGCCTTTGCTTTGGTTATTTATCGCGTGGGGAGAGGCTTGAATGAGCGCTACCCCTCGCCCTCCGCTCCGCACCTGCCGGGCGGCAGCATCCCTTCCGCGGGTGCGGGCCGTGGGAGCCCTCGGGGGAGGCGGGTTTCCAGACAGGCTGTCCCGGGCTCGGTGACGCGTCGGTGACGTGAGCGCGTGGAGAAGGGGAGCGGGGATCCCCAAATTCACACGACCCCTCGAAGGGGCCGAGGGTTCGGTCCTGGCGGAGTGAGGGTCCCTGTCGGTGAGACCGCTGGAGGTCTGCAGCTCAGGGCCCAGACTCGGGGATGGGCAGCCCTCGAGGGGAGAAAGGGACCCTCCGCGGACCCCCGGGCGGAGGAAGGCGGCCGTCGCATCCCGCAGGAATGGGCTCTGCGAGCCTCCAGCACCGCGGGGCGCTCGGAGCGGGGAGGGCCTTTACCCAGCGCCGACCCCCTGTCCTGCGGCAGCCGACTCCAGACGAAGCCGGGGGCAACCGAGCGCCAGGGGAACAGGCAGCGCCTTTCCTCGAAAGCATCCCGGGCGGGGAACACGCTCCCCGGGGACCGGGCCGGGCCCGGCAGCCCCTCTTCGTGCCCCGCGGGGGCTGCGGCGGGCGCCACGTGATGCCGGGACGGCCGTATAAAGGCCTGGGGAGCGCTGGCAGCAGGCGCAGTGTGGGAGCGTTTCCACCGGGTCCCAGCTCGGGAGGGGTGGGGAGGGGGGAGCCGCCTTCCCCACTTCTGCCCTCCCCCCTCCCTCTTCCCCTGCCCCTCCCTCCCCCCTCCCCCTCCCTCCCCCCCAAGCTAGGCAAGGAACCGCCGCAAACCCCACTTTTTTTTCTTTCTTTTCTTTTTTTTCTCTTTCTTTCCTTTTATTATCACTATCACCATTATTTATTATCGCTGCTCCCAAGCTCCCTGCCCAGCCCACGGGCGCCCCGTTTCCCCCGCCCCCGCCCCGCGCCCCCTCCACCGCCCCTCCCTCCGCAGCCACCACCCCGCAGCCACCACCGCGGCCCCGCCAGCAGCGGCGCGGCGAGCGGGGCGCGGAGCGGAGCGGCGGCGCCGGGGCGCGGAGTCCCAGCGGCGGCCGCAGCCCTCCGGCACGGCCCCGGGCCCATCCCGGGAGCCGCCGCTAGGTGGGGGGGGGGAGCCCGGCCCCGGCCGCCCCGGCCGCACAACAATGACTTTGGGCAGCAGCGGCGGCGGCGGCTGCGGGATCATGTCCGAGCGCTCCCCGGAGGAAGAGCCGCTCTCCGAGGTGGAGGACGCGGATATCGACGTGGTGGGCCCGCCCCAGGATGGGGGCAAGTACAGCGAGGAGGAGGAGGACGACGAGGACGAGGAGGAGGAGGACGAGGAGGACGGCGGCGATCCGCTGGGGCTGGCGCTGCCGCGGAGCGGGGCCGCCAAGGCGCGCATGGGGGGGTCCCCGGAGCGGCTGTCCCCCGCCGGCGGCTCCGAGCCCGCCTGCGCCCGCGGCGCCGCGCCCGGGGACAAGGCGCCCGCGGGCAGCGGCGGCGGCGGCGCGGGGGGGAAGAACCCGCTGGTGAAGCCGCCCTACTCCTACATCGCCCTCATCACCATGGCCATCCTACAGAGCCCCAAGAAGCGGCTGACGCTGAGCGAGATCTGCGAGTTCATCAGCGGGCGCTTTCCGTACTACCGGGAGAAGTTCCCCGCCTGGCAGAACAGCATCCGCCACAACCTCTCCCTCAACGACTGCTTCGTCAAGATCCCCCGGGAGCCCGGCAACCCGGGCAAGGGCAACTACTGGACGCTGGACCCCGAGTCCGCCGACATGTTCGACAACGGGAGCTTCCTGCGCCGGAGGAAGCGCTTCAAGAGGCAGCAGCAGCTGCACCCGCCGCACCCCGAGCTGCTGCTGCGGGCCGGGGCCGCCGACCCCGCCGCCTTCCTGCCCGGCTTCGCCTACGGACCCTACGGCTACAACTACGGCCTGCAGCTCCAGGGCTATCCCCACCACCACCACCACCCCGGCGGCGGAGGCGGCGGCGCCGCGGGCGCCTTCCCCTTCCCGGCGCCGCACTGCCCGTTACCGGCTCCGCCGCCTCCCGCCGCCGCCTCCGTCTTCTCCGCCGCCTCGGGGCTGCCCTCCTTCCTGGGCGGCGAGCTGAACTGCAGGAAGTCCTTCTACCACCCTCAGCTGAGCCCCACCGCCTTGCCCGCCGCCCTCCTCCAGACCCTCAAGCCGGACCCCTCGCCCGCCGGCGGCGGCGGCGGCGGCAGCGGCGGCACCAACCACCCCTCCCGGCCCTCTTTTTCCATAGACAACATCATCGGGGGGGCCGTGCCCCCGCCGCCCAGCACCAACCCCAGCGTCGCGCCCGCCGCGCCCTACCCCGCCGGCCAGGCGGGCCCCCCGGCACAGGTCCTGGCCGTGCTCAGCCCCGCCTTGGCCCCGGCACAGCCCCAGGTCAGCCTGGCACACGAGCCGCTCCTCCAGCCGGCCCAGAACTTTTCCAGTAAAATCACAACCCTCAGCAGCTGTCATTTTTAAACTGTGCTGGGGACTGGGGAAAGGAGGGGGGGGAGGGAGAGTCGCAAAGCAAACGGCCCCTTTCCAGCTCTCCCCCCCTCCTCCGAAACTGCTCCCATTCCCTCTCCCCGTGTCCCCCCTCCCCCCCCCGATCTTCTTCTGTTGTGTTTTAAGGTAGGAAATATTTCTTTTTTTTTTTTTTTTAATTTTTACTTTACTTCCAGGCTCAGTGGCATCCAGATCTGTTTGTCTCTCTTTGCTCGGGGAAAAAAAAACCCAAATCAATAAATCGGGAGGGCGGGAGGAGGGAAAGAATAACACGATTTGGTCCCACAAACGCCAAAGCGTATTTATAAAGTGGCCGTAACATAAGCTGGGACCTGGGCTGGTTAAATACTCAACGTTTTGCGAGGAGAGAAGGGGGGGCATGTTAAGAACGAAACGGTCTTAAAGTGCAAAATGTTTCCTTTGAGAGGTGCGGGTTTCCCGCAAGGGTCCCCCAAATCACCTGGGAAAGCGGCCAGGGGAGTTGCGGACGCTCCCGGTCGCAGCGAGCCCGTTTTTGTTCTTGCAACTCTCTCCCGGGTGGTTTTGCCATGTGTGTCTGTCTCTCCCCTGCTCTCAAAGAAAATGTTTTAATGGTTCGATCTTATTTTTAGTTTCTTTGAAGCTTCGGGTTTGGTTTTAAAACGCACTGTTTAAGGTTACTTTATTTTTAAGAAGAAGAAAAGTTGGTGAAACTCAGGACTGCGGTTTATTTTTTTGCTTTTTTTTTTCTTTTTCTTTTTTTCCCCCCAGTGAGACAGTCAAATGCACGTTTAAAAGAAAATCCGATCCGTCAGGAAGTTTGGAAAATTCCCATACTATTTTTTTTTAATTCCAGTTTTCCCACCCCCTCCGTGCGTGGGTTTTTTGGTGTATTGGTAATTATTTGTATATAGATTATTCGGGAGCTAATGAGCGGAGTCCAGTTAACTCTTCACTGGTTGTGCATCCGTCATATCTATTTTATTGAGAGAATCTGTGAATAATTTGATGTGGAAAAGGCAACAGAATTTTGTCCACCGTTGGTGTAAATTAATAAATGTTTGTGACCTGGTTAAAAAAAAAAAAAAGTAATAATAATCCAAATCGTTCTTTGCGATGTCCTTTGTCACGCTGAGAGGCGAGAGTCCCGCTCGGGCCTCGGGGAAGCGAGTGGCTCCCACCCTCGGGCCGGCGACACTCGGGCGTTCGACAGGGGCTGAGCGGCCCCTCCACGGCCGCGGCGCAGCCTGCACGGGGCTACTCCGCGACGCCTCCCTGCCCTCCGCAGCGGGCTGCCACACCGCCCGGGCCACGGTGTGGGGCCACTGGCCGGCAAGGGAAAGGATCCTCGGATATATATTTTATTTTTTGATAATTTTATTTTTTTTTTATTTCTCTGATTTTGGTGTCTCTCAGCAGAAAAAAAAAAAAAGGAAAGAAAACAAACCCCAAACCCTGCGTGTATCCAGGGGGAAGGAGGTGGGGGCCAGGAGAAACGTTGTCCCTTATTCTTCCCCCCCCCCCTTCTCCCCTCCGCCGCCCCTCCACCTCCTTTTATTTTGTTTGGAAAAGTTGACACATGAGAAAATAAGTTGGAGGGTTTCCCCCCCGCACACACGTCCCCCTTGGGCCTGCAGCATTTGAATGACTGAATGAAACTTGATCTCTGCCTAAATTTTGCAACAACTTACAAAGTAAATAAACATCTTAAAGCGTTCCCTTCTCGTCCAAACTTCTCCCCTTTCTCTCTCCCCCCCCCCCCCCCCCATTTCTTTCTTTCAGGGACCAAACGTGGCTCTTTGGTTTGTTTGTTGGCAGGGACCCTGATCGAGAGAATCGAGGCCTTTCTGACCGGGCAGCCAGCTGAAGGAGAAGGAGAAAAAGGAAAAAAAAAGCTGAGACGTACGAGGCAGGGCGCGGGGGACGGAGCCGGTCCCCGGGCGAGCGGGGCTTTGTGCGAGGCCCGCCGGGGCTCAGGCAGGAGCCGGGCAGTGTGCGCCGGGGGAGCAGGGGGGGATCGGCTTTTCTTTTCTCTTCCCGCCCCCCCATCCCCTTTTTATCCTCTGCCTCTGTCTGTGCCACCTCGAACCTCCGCGCAGTTTGTTGATGTTGTTCCTGAACGTGCCGCCTCCCCGCAGCGAGCGGTCTCACATCTCGCCTTCACACACATTTGCTTTTGAAAAGCGATCTTCGTGTCCGGCACTTGGTTGTCTCCCTTTCATGTCCAGCTCCTACAAAAGGGGCTACAAGACTCGACATGGGAGAAAAGAGGAGGCCAATGAATCTATTTTCCAGATTGCCAAGCACATGGTTGGAAATTGAAGGGGCTTTTGTAGCATTTCCCCTTCCTCCCTCCCTCCCCTCTCCTTTTCTTTTGCTTGTGTGCAAATTGTTCAATTGCTCTGGCAGGGGTGTTCCTGACAAGCTCATTACTAGAAGGTGCCAGACCCCTCCTCTCCCTCTCCCTCGAAGTCTTTGATGAAGTTAAAATGCGCTGATAGCTGCTCTCGGAGCTATCTTTGTTCAGCCTCCTTTAATAACCGAGCCTGCTTTGAGGAGAAGGGATCCGAGGGAAGAAAGCGATGTGCAGCGAGGCTGGGTGGTGGTTATGCGCCTGGAAGAAGGGGGGCTGGTTATTTTAGTATAAAGTAGCGATTTTTAATAATTTTTGGCTTGTCTGTTTGCGAAGTGCAGGAGGAAAAGGAGCCAAGGGTGGCAAGAGCGGATAAGAAATAGCAGTCGGTGCCCGTAGGGATGAAGGAGGCGTGTGGCCCCTGCAGTCGCGCTGGTGCAAGGGGTTCTCCAAGTTGGTGGTCTCAGGGTTTGGAGGGATGGAGGGGGGTCCTCTCTGCAGGGAAGCGGTGTTTCCCTGGAGAGCCCCCTGCCCCCACACGCTCAGGGGAGGGGGCTCTGGCGGGGGATCTGGGACTGGGACACCTTTCCCCGGCTCCGTTCATCTCCTTTTGCCTTGCAGAGTCATTGTGGGTTTTTAAGCCGCGGTCGCCGGCCAGGATTGAAGCTGAACTGACTTGGGAGCGGGGGGATTTTCCCCTCTTGACCGGGAGTCGCGGTACCCACGCAGGAAGGGTTGGGCTCGGCTCCCCGGGGCCCGCGGGGGCTGCGAGCGCCGGCGCCGTCGAGGTTTTATTTTGAGGGGAAGATCCCCAAGCGTCTCTAAAATTAGAATTTTCCCCATTCCCTAAATTTCCCTGAAGCACCCCAGCTTATTCCGTGCCCAGACCAGATTCACGCCGCCTACAAGTATCTGCGTCGCTCGGGGAGGCGGCGGGGGGGGCGGCGGAGACCCCCCAGGAACTGGCTCTCCCCCGTCCGCCGGAGCGGGGGGCGGCGGGGAAAGACCCGGGGGTTTCCACGGGGTCCAGAATGCCCTGGCCGGGCTCGGCTCGGGGGGTTCAGGAGAAATCCTACCTCGGCGAGGCAGGACGGATAATGGCCCCTAATTACGGGGCTGGCTGGCTCCGTGGCCCCGATCTTCACGGGACATTATTTTTAAGCGTTCAGCGAGGATCATTTTTCACGCCTCGCTGCCTAAAAGAGGGTTTTATTTATTTATTGGAGGGGAGGCGGGGAGGACACCAGCAATAACCGAGCACTGAAAGGAAAATAATTAGCTGTTGCAGTCGCTGCTTGGGAGTCCCTGGCCAAAAAGGCGACCTGGCATTTCCCTTCCGTCCCGTCCGTAGGCGAATTTCCCGGTTCTGGGGGCTGCTTTCGGTAGTTGGTTTTGTTAGTGTTAAACCCCGGGCAAAGCCCGCCGCGAGCCCGATCCTTTTTTTGCAGGTTTGGGTTTTTTTCCCTCTCCCTTTCCGCTCGGCGGCTGTTTCCGAGCAGGACCTGGGGGATGCAGGTTCCCCTGCCTAGCTTTGGCTTTGGTCACACATCTGTGGAGATGATTTTTTTTTTTTTATTCTTTAATGTGCCCCCAATCCTCTGCTTTCTATATGCCAGATGAAGGGATCGTAACAAAACCGCGATGCTTTCAGCGCAGTTACTCCGCGGCGGATTTCCGTGTGTGCGCAGCCCGGGAGAGGCGGAAAACGGGGGATTTTCCTCGGGTTTGTCGGGGCGGGATAAAACGATCCTGCCCCGGAATATCCCCGTCGGGACCACAGCGGGAGGGCTCTGTGTGTGTAATTTCTTTCTCTGCTTTCGCTTAACTAAGCCTGTGTTAAGTGGTGCGGATCCCGAGGAGGGAAGCGAGTGGCCCTTCCCTCGCCGGCTGCGGGTGTGGGACCCCGGCCCGGCCGGCCCCGCTGCACCGCCCGCTCGGCCCTCAGCTCCTACCTCCTCCCCTGGCACCTTCTGCTTTCCATTACTGCCGATTTGGAGAATTAGGAAAGGTCAAGATCTTATTCCTTTCTCCGGTAGTTTTTTAGTTTTCTCTTTCTAGTTTCTCGCAGTCCCGAACAAAAATAAATCAACCTGGATTATAGAAACCACCTTTAGACATCAACAACCTTTAGACATCATCTTTTCCAATAGTTCGATCCTTCCTCCGGGAGTGCCCTGGCCTTTCCTTGTGACTGCGCAGAAACTCCCATTTTCACGGTGAATTTAGGATTTAATAATAACGTCCAATCTCCCTGTGCCCCAGTGCCCGACCTGAAAACATTTTCCTGTCTCGTAACTTTGGAAAATAGCTGCCCTCCAGCATCTTATTTCCCTCCCCATATCTCTTTCGGTTTTTTTCCTTTCCCGCGCAGAACGTAGAGAAAAAAAGGTTAAAAAAAAATATCCCATTTTCCGATCTGGAGAGGGCGGGAAGAGCTGTCGCATTCGACTCAGCCGCAGGAAAATTGCTTTAGAAATTAAGTTGGTGCTTTTGAAATCCTCCTCGAGATGTTCGCGGTAGGTCAGGGACCTGCGCTCGCCCCTCTGTCTGTCAGGCGAGGAGAGAGGCTGAGGCTCGGCGCTCTCCCCTCACCTCACGGACTACGGTTCGTCTTTACTTTCTTCCTTCTCTTCCTCGCCTTTTCTTTCTCCTCCGCTTTCCTTTTTTTTTCTTTTTTCTTTTTTTTACTTTTTCTTTCTCCTGTATCATTTCTTCCTCTTCTTTCTTTCTTCCTTCTTTCTGTCTTCCCT